AACTCTTGGGAGAACATTAACCAAATCTTTGACGTCTCTATTAATCATAAAAATGCCATAAGAGTGAATTGGATCAGACCACCAACTATGTTTGCTAAACTCAATACTGATGGATCTTGTGTTAATGGCAGGTGTGGTGGAGGTGGAATTCTGAGGAACTCATTGGGACAAGTCATCATGGCCTTCACTATAAATCTTGGAGAAGGAACCAGCAATTGGGCTGAAGCCATGTCCATGCTACACGGAATGCAACTATGCATACAAAGAGGAGTAAATATGATCATCGGAGAAACAGACTCCATTCTACTTGCTAAAGCTATCACTAAAAGTTGGAGTATCCCTTGGAGAATGTACATCCCAGTTAAGAAGATTCAAAAAATAGTTGAAGAGCATGGTTTCACCATCAATCACTGCCTTAGAGAGGCAAATCAACCTGCGGACAAACTTGCTTCAATTAGCCTTTCAACTGATGTTAACCAAGTCTTCAACTCTTATGCTAATCTTCCTAGTCTTGTTAAGGGCCTTGTAAATTTGGATAGAATGAATTTGCCCACATTCAGATCAAAAAGAACAAAGGATGCCAACCTTATTTTGAACCTCCTTAGATTAGTAGCCAGTGACTTCCACTGGCCTTTGTATAGGCTTATTTTTTTTGCTAAGTGCTCCTTAAGCACCAAAGGTACAAGTTTGGTATGTATTCCATATATTGATGTACCAGATCGGCTAATGCTTTCAAAACTTGATTATTAATATATATTCTTATGGTACTATATATATATATATATATATATATATATATATATCGAGAGAGAGAATCGATAAGCTAATTCATGTAGATGTATATTTACCGGGTTACCCACCTAAACTAGAAGCAAAATTGGAAACGAGTCCATGTTCTTTGATGCCTTTCTCATGAAATTGGAAACTACTTGTGTGCAACCAATTTGGTGAACATTTTTATTCCCAGGCAATGGCACATTATAAAAGCAATAGGACCTGGTTCCCTCAATAAACAACAACACTAATAAAGAAAAAGGAAAATTATTGAAAAAATGAAAATGTAAAATTAAAAGAATGGAATTCCTAGGAATATGAATAAATAACTTTTATAAAATGTAATTACGTGGGATAGATATGATCCCTTCACTTTTAATCTGCATGAAGTCCCAAATTCGAGTCTCGAATAAAATTATCCTAGTCATTAATGCTAATAAAATGTGATAATACCAATTACTCTTGTTTCAAAGTCAAAAGCAGACTTTCTAGATATTTCAAAAGGATACAACACCATAAATCCTAATAGTGATATCTTCTCTCCGTACATAGTCTTATTTTTATCTTATAAAGATCTAGATTATTTTTGATAAATTCTCGATTCAAGATATTTTTAAGAGATGATTCTTATACTTTTTAAATAAATTATTAATCCCATATTTTAAGAAGATAACGTGATGAAATATATAATTTTCTTTTACGCTGATAATTTATATAATTAATATTTTTTCTCTATATATATATATATATCTAAGGAGCCTTTACAACACAAAAAAAATTATAAAATGGGGTGTGCTTTAAGGAAACAAGAAAGAATATATGAAGATCAAGCTTTACTAGCAGCTCAAACACATTGTAATTTTCTCCTTCTTCTTCTTCTTCTTTTTTCAAATTTTATTTTATTATTTAACATAGATTATTTTATGTCATTAAAAAATAATTATTTTCTAATTTGCAGTTTCTTTGGAAGATGTGAAGTTATTAACTGAACTCTTCAAAAAATTAAGTTGTTCAATTTGCAATGATGGCTTTATTAGCAGAGTAATTCTAATTTCTTTCTTATAAAATTTTTCCTTAGTTATTTATTTAATGACTTTCATATTTATGTAATATTTAGTAAATTCCCTAATTAAAAGTCTAATTCCCAATTATTTTTATTTTTTTTTAATATTTTGTCAACAATTAATATTATTTTTGTTACAGGAAGAGTTCCAGCTTGGATTATTCAGAGATAACAGAAAACATTCTTTGTTTTCAGACAGGGTGAGCCAACTTCTACATAGCTAATTTTATTATGGTACAAAGACGAATTCAGAATTTTAATCTAGTGAATTCAGAATGAATATGGTCTTGGTATTTGGCATGTTTTACTTTTTGTTGTTGTTGTTGTTTATATATAAATAATTCGAATGAAAAGTAATAGGTTCGATTGAATATGGAGAACCTGTCTTACATCTGACTCTATATTGTAACGACACTCATTCTTCAATTTTCTACTTCTTTTCTAGGCCTATAGTTTTGCGAGAAAACATTACTGTACAATAGAGGTGAATCCAGAATTTAAAGTTTGTAGGTTCAGATTAATAAGTATATATGTATTATATTACATATTTTGACTCTTTTTTTTCATGTATGTAGTATAGAGTTGGTGAGTTCAGATTAATGAATGTTATCTTATTATCTAACACATTATAATTTTTTGCCATATATGTATATATAACTCAAATTTTTAAAAGTAATGAATTTAGTTAAATTCTTAGAGCTCATGTATTACGTGTAGATGTTCAACTTGTTTGACTCCAACAAGGATGGGCTAATTGACGTTGGAGAATTTATCCGTACACTAAGTATCTTTCATCCTGATGCTTCACAAGCAGAAAAAATTGTTGGTAAGGAATTTTTCGAAAAACGTTATTTTCTAATATTTGATTGTTAGAAAATATTTTTTGGGAAACCATTTTTCAAAAAATATATTTTTCCTTATTTTTGGATGGAAGTCGTTTTTCTTAACAATATGCTGCTTTTACTAACACTTTCATATTATTATTGATCTTTAAAAGTACTCAAAAGTTTCATCAAACACTATCTATAATAAACGCTTTTTCAAAAAATAATTTTTACTCTCCGAAATACTGAAAAACCAAAAAAAAGTCATATTTTTCAAATTATTTTAAAAAATAACTTTCGTCGTACCAATCAATTGAAATTATGGTTTCTGATATTGCAGTTGCATTTAAACTATATGATATATGGCAAACAGGCTTTATTGGACGTGAAGAGGTAAAGTACTATTCATTTATTCATACAATATGACATTTATTAGAAGCTAGATAAGCCTTAATTTAGTTCACTAAGATAATTTTCTGATTTTTTTTTCTTGAATTTAGGTGAAGGAGCTTATTTTTGGGCTATTATATGAGTCAGAATTGATACTCACTGATAATATAGTTGAAGTAATTATCAACAAGGTATGCAATAAAATTCGTTGCCAATCTATCGCAATTCGCAACATAAGCTGTAGCTAACAATTTTTTTTTTGATAATTCGTTGTTAAATAATATTAGAGAGGGATTTTTGCTATTTTGGCAACACAAGTTGTTTGCCATTAATTATGTTATCTCCTATATTCAGGTCAGTAAAACAGAAATAGAAAAAGATGAAATTGAAAGACAGAAAATAAAAAATTTGAGTCCATAGGATCCACTGTATATCTTTAAGAAATTTAATCCCTTCAAGTATCTGAGTTTGTAGATTAATTCCTCCCAAGATAAAACAGATTAACTATAAGGCGCATGTCAGCATGAGCCTTGTAAGACACATGTCGGTGTGCATCGTACAAGGCGCATGTCAACATACGCCTTACAAAGAGCATGTCAGCGTGCGCCTTCCAACCAATGATTTCATGGCATCCATCCTTCAATCCAAATTTTGCCCTTTTGGTTTGATCCTCAAGTTTTGTTGCCCTTTTGGAAATTTTGCTCTTTTTTTTTTACCCTTTTGGCTCCGGAACATTTGATTTAGGTGACATATATTTTAACTACAAATATTAAGTTGTTTAGTTTGATATAAACACCTAGCGCGAATAAGTAATTATGTGTCATTTAATTACATGCAACTTACACAAAATATTGTCATTAACATATATTTATACTCTTAACTAACCCATATTTAGTGCTAATTAATTTTTTTTTGTGGATGAAGACAATTGAAGAGGCAGATTCTAAAGGGGATGGAAAGATAGATATAGAAGAGTGGAGTAATTTTGTAGCTCATAATCCATCTTTGTTGAAAAATATGACAATTCCATATCTCAAGTAATTCTCTAATCCTAATTCACTATTTATACTTTACCCGTTATTATAACAATAAAGTTAATATATATATATCATCACATTAAAGGAAGTAAATTTAGCTATTATAACAATTGAGTCATGAAATTATTGCTTTTGTCATGTTAAATTAATAGAACTATGTTTGAATTGCTCAGAGAATACAAATGACCGAAAAGTCAATTTTTCGATGCAGGGTGATGACATGTATAATTACTATCGTGAAATTTTAAATTGTCTTAAAATTTTACTTATGAAATTTGAAACTTCCTATCAAAAAAACATGACCGAAAAGTAGCAAGTGAAAGCTACTTTATTAAATTTATGATCATTTTACTGAGTTTTGAATTTCATTATGTTTCAGGGATATCACAACTACATTTCCTAATTTTGTGGTAAATACACAAAAGAATGATGAGATTTACAAGGATTTCTGAGTTATAAAAGTGGCAACATGGCTACTAACCCTTCAAGAATATAGTTGTTTTGGTAAGGGAGCATTTATCTTCAAAGCAAGACTTTTCAAATTAATTAGGCCTCATATAATAGGAATGTTGATTAAAATGACTCAAATGAAGGTGCAGAGAATCGAACCCTGTGCCTTTCGCAGGCGAAGCAGGGGCTCCATCATTTCAAAAGTCCAAGCAACATAACTTCCTGCGACTCAATAACAGTTTCACCTTCTTTCAGCTGCAACTACTGACATGCCATCAAATAATGTGGGAAGAAATTATGAAGAACCAAAAAGACATACCCATCTTTTACGGCCAAATGTACTTGAGCCAAAAGAAGGAATCAATGCCTCCCCTTCATTAGGAATACAAAGCTTATCTAAACACAACAAAGACACATTAATCAAACCAAAAGCATGTTTCAATGAGCTTATAACTTATAATGTATATAAATCAGTAGCAATAAATTAGGATGCCTAACCGACTTTTGAATTATTTTTGTTGTTTTAACTTCAAGTTTTTATCAACACTACTTATTTTACTCAACTTTAAAACTATTATTGCTTAAAAGCACCAAAAATTAGTCCATCCAAACAGACTCCAAAACTAAGAAATGCTGTACAAGTTTCTAATATGGATAGAATAAAGCGAAATGGAATCACATGTTCCAAACAGTTCTCGTCATTCTTCCAGAAGAGATAACATCCAGGCTGCACTGAGTTACACAAAGAGGGCCAAACCGAGCAATAGCTCATGGATCAGCTGGCATGGAGCTCTGCTATCACTTCTTTACAAAACAACCTAGTTGCAACGACATATGGATCCACAGCTTAAGCATCGGTCTCCTCACTTGCCAAAACGACCCCTAGCCCATGGCGCTACATGCTGACCACCTCCATTTCTCTTTGGCATGTTCTGCTGAGATTGCATTTTCATCCTCTGTTCCTTCATATTTGCAAATAGAGAATCTAATGTCTGAGGCCTCTGCTTTGACACTGGCTTGACTTCCTGCTTTTGTTGCTACAAACAAAACACAGACCTTGTTACATTTTTTCCAGAACTTACCAAGTTCTATGCTAGCTGATCTACAAGATCAATGACATCACGAAGGCAATGCAGGATGTAAGTTACAAAGGAAGAATTCATATAAGTTACTGTTGAACCTCTCTTACCTTAGCAATAAACCTGCCACCATTTGCAGCAATCTTCTGAACTGGAGGAGCCCCAAACCTGCACAAGTAACAAAAAGAGAATTGAAGAGACTGTAGGGAGAAGTGCTTATCCGCAGATTACTTACTAAAGGGTGAGCAGCACCAAGATGCAGATGACATTCCCAGTGAAATCATTATGCACGTATAGTTTTTTTACTTCCAACTTACCATCGGTCCTCAAATTAAAACTTCTCAACTAGCCAAACCTTAGAAACAGTACCAGCATCCAAAACAAAAATGGATAGCTTTCAGCTCATCCCCCACCAGAAGGAAACAAAGTCCAAACTAGAACTAACAGAAACACTGATGTGGAAGAAATATCCTCTTGGGTTTTTGGACAACTTTCATCAGTCAAATATCCAATAGTACTCCTAACTCCAGCAGAACGGCTTTCACCACGAAACTAGAACTGCTTCAATAGAGTTGCAGCAAACTTCCCAACATTACATAATTCAACACAAAATTTAAACCCCTCCACACGTCCCACAAACCTAACTGTTTCTGCTAAAGAGCTCAAGTACAACATGCAATCTCTATCCTCCAAAACACTGCCATGAGGTTACGGCACAAACAAGAGTTGGATACACGCCCACGCAAAGAGAAGTATCACCATTTACGTGACCCGCAACAACAATTTCAAAAACCAATAGTACCATGCCACCCACAAAATAATACAAAAATGTTTGTGTAAGGTGTAGAAGGCAAAACTTAAAATGCACAGCAGCCTCGCAAACTCATTGCTGAAAGAAATCTGATGAATGCCATGTGTCATGCTCCATGCCTTCCCAAACTTCTTATCAACATAAATTTTGATGGTTGGGCAGAGGAAAGAAAATGCGGAAGAATTGCTTATTAATATCCCAAAAAGAAATTCAAAGACAATTGTCATGCTCCATGCCTCCCCAAACTTCTTATCAACAAAAAATTTGGCACTTAGAAGAGGAAAGGAATTGAGAAAGAATTGATAATCCAAAACCCGAGGGGAATTCAACGACAATTCATTGTGAAATAGTTGAGTCACTTCAAACAGAATCTTCCATCAGGACATCCTTTCTGTACCCAAAAGAAAATCACTGATAATCAATTTCCATAGAATTGAGTTGCCATGGGACAAAGTTATCCAAGGGCATCCGTTCTTATGAAGCAACCATTCCAAAACCTCAAACTAACAAGTCATCATATACCCCATGATGTTGTCGCTACCAGACAAATCCTTGGAAACTATGCAGTTACCCCAACACAGGGAAAATCTCATTATAACATATCTTTATGCCAGCTCCCAGATGCACGTCAAATCCACCTTAAGAGTTCCACATCTTGGAGTGTCCTGATACCAACTTAAAAAGAGTAGAACTCAAATACAACACATGCACAACAAACTGAAGTCAACCAACATGTTGTAGAAGGATGTAACTTTTCTGAGGGAAAATAACCATCATTCGACACTTGAACAAACTTCCAAAGACTGCAACTTGAATGTCTCCCAACCGGATTAACAGGGAAGAGCATGCTTTTGAAGTACATAAAATGAAGGAGAGACACATGGCAAATTCATCTACAATAAATAGGACCACAATTTACCTGCATCAAATGAGAGTTCAATTGTTACTCCAGATTTGACAAAAGCCTGTCCAGGGAATTAACAAATAACAAGCTTAATCATATATTATCTTCACAATTCAATACACACCTCTGTTTATTTACATTCACTGCCTGGCTTCGATTGAAAGCCCTATTGCGAATAGGAGCAACTGCTGCCCTTCTGGCAGCCTCAGTTGCCAAAGGAAACTGGTCTCCCTGAAAATTTGATCTTCTTTGAGCAAGAGCCCCCTAAGAAGAAGAATATCAACACAAACAGTGTCTTAAGTGTTCAACATTCACAAATATGAAAAAGAATCCATCAAAATCCTTCATAGGTTGCGCCAATTGTGAAGAGTACCTGTCTCATAGATGATCTTGTGTCCATACACCTTTGTATCTTAGCAGATTTATCCTGAGCAATGTTATTAGAAAACTTTTGGCTTCTATTCTGCAAAATAGCAGAGGATAGATGTTAAAAAAGTTCCAAATCAAGTTGACAAAAGCTGAAATAAACACTAAATGGTCAAGACAGTGGTGTGCTTACCGAAACTCTTTGCTTCTTAGTTTTGGTTGTGTTCGTCTTGGACATCTTGATGATATCGTCTGCAACCATCAAGTGATTATCAGCAAAAGAGGAAGCAAACCAAAATATAGACATAAAACATATATAGCTGGCATGCTTACCTAATGTCATGTCCATTTTTTTCTCTGTAAGTGCAATAGTCTCAGTTGTCAGTATTTTAGCTGCCATCTGAGAGGGGAGGAAAATCAGTCAACTGAATACAACATAGAAATATCCAACTAAACTTAAAGGACAGCTGAAGATGCAGGCACAGAAGGAAAAATCAAAGTCGTCAAAAGAAGACGGCAGTATATGACAGATTGAATTGATCAATGAGGAGAAGGATATGGATAACGCTGAACATGTGAAGAAAAATATCAGCTCAGTGGGAAAAGATAGGTCACAAAATACAGAGGATAAAAACCAACAACTAAACAAAAAATGTTTCCCCTCCCTGCCTCTTTCTCGCTGCAGGTGAAGGAAGGTAACAAAATACTTTAGTTTAATCTGACAATCAGACAAATAATCATGCAGGAATGCAGTTATATGAGGAGTTCTATTAGGACAAAATTTACAGCAAACTAAAATTACGTATTAGAGTCAATGGCAACATCATCATTCATTTTTTCTCTAACCTCAAAACTTTTTTTTGTAACAGTATTTAATATTTTAAGAACTTTTTTATCAACGGAAGAATAGTCGCATAACTAGCACAAGCTATAACACCAAACAATGGAGAAACTTGACAATACTAACCAAAGGGACAAAGCAACTGCTCAAATAGACAAGTTAGAGCGACGGCCCAAAGATAAACATGACCCGCCCGTAATCAGAAGTTCCAGTAGTTTTTACATACCTTTTCAAAAAATGTAACACATCTCCGCAGCATTCAGCCTTTTTAAGTTTTAATAATCCCAACAACAACAAAAGCACAAAAATAATCAGGTACTCTGCTCATAAATCAAGCTCTCATTGATATCTAGAAATTACATGCCAACCCTTCACTCCACCTAACGCCTTTTAAGGAACAAAAGTTGAAACTAACTCCACGCTCGATTACCCCTACCAGTTTCTCCAAATTCCATCCAGAATCTAGACATTCTAACACAACAAAGAAAGCATTGATGCGTGCATTCTTAGAAACAGTAAGTACATCATAGCTTCTTCTAGGAAATAAATCCCCTCATAATAAAACAAACTGAAAAAAAAAAGAACAGGTACAAGGTTTCAGCAGAAGCAACTACACCTCAAACAAGTGTGGGCCATTAGCTATACGAAGTCAGTACACATATTCTGCTCTATCTGGTCAGATCTCTTCACAATTCAGCTTATTAAGTGTTCACTTAAAACAGTGTAGGTCCTCCTCATCTCACAGTGACCTAACAACTCTTAAAACTAGGACTTACTGTCATCCATTTAATATAAATTTCTCACGTCAGCCTAACAAAAGGCTGTAAAACGAAATCATCAAAAAAAGTATCTGTAATAGTGAAGCAAACCTGAAAGGTGAAACTAGGTCTCTGATAACCACAAAATCCAAAAGTTTAACAAATAACTAAAGCAAATTATCACTCTAGAGAAGCTTTTTGAGCTAAACATGTAAGAAAAAAGAAAGGACAAAACGAGCTGAGAACGCACAAACTGTCTCAAAAATTGCAGAAACACTAGTTCTCCTTAATAATTATGAATTTATGACTAACACAACATTAACAACTAAGCCTCTGTCAAGTATTTGGTATCGTCAACTGTAACTTCTGAAATTTCATAGAATTCCTCAAATCCACATAACAAAAGGATGTAAAATGAAAGCACCAAAGAATTAGGTCTCTGATAATCCCAACATCAAAAGAAATTGAACTAATTAGAGCAAATCCTTCACTCATTCGAAACTTTTTTTGAGCATAACATCATGAACATACAAAAAAAAAAGGATAAAAACAGCTCGTGAGGAGCAGCACAAACTATCTCAAAAATTGCAAAAACACTACAGATTCTCCAACTAAGCCTTACTTTCAACTATTTGGTATCGTCAACTGCAACTTCAGGAATTTTCATAAAATCCCTCAAATCCACATAACAAAAGGATGTACAAAGAAATCACCAAACAAATTAGTTTCTAATTACCACAAAATCAAAAGAAATTAAACTAATTGAAGCAAAATTCACACTCATACGAAAAATTTTGCGCATAACAACACGAACATAACAATAAATTTTAAAAAAAAGTATAAAAAGAGCTCGTGAGAAACACAATCTGCCTCAAAAATATGCAAAAATTGCAGAAAATAATGGTAACAAAAGTAAACCTGTTTATGTTTGTGAAATCGAATAGAAGATGATGAACTTCCTGAATAGAGGTGATGTTGAATGCTAGGGTTTCGATTTTTTTAGAAGAAAAAGACGGCGAATTTAGAGTGATGAAAAATTATGGTGAAACACTTGCGAAATTCTATCTATTCGCGAATTTATATATATGTAGAGGCGGTGCACCGTTTGATTATTGGATCGAGCACGAACAAATCACGTGCTCCACTTATTTCTTGTTTGGATGGTTGTTCGTTGTTACTCATTAGACTATATTTCCTCCGTTCACTTTTACTTATTCAGATTCTACCCATAATAATTGATGTGTAGTTTTAGATCTTGGAAAATAAGCAATTAATATCGAGGGTAAAACACATAAGAGATTATTTTTTTACAATATGTTAAAAGTGACAAAAAAAATTAAAAAAAAAATCTATTTTTGGAGTACTTGACATTTGACAAGTAAAAACAAACACAAAGAGTATTTTATTGTTATTTTAAAAAAATTAATCATAAAAAACACACCTAAATATTATTATTTTTGTAAACTTTATAACTTAAAGAATCAATTGTTCTCTTTACATATCTATACTATAGGGATCGTTTAGTAGAGTGTATAAAAATAATGCAAAATATAGTGTATTTAGTAATGTTTGTATTAGTAATGTTGAGATTTTTCTTATGTAGCATTTGATTTGGTGTACTAAAGTATTGTGCATTGCATAATTTCATTTAAAAAAATATTTGTTGTGGAAAAGTTTTTGAGCGACAATTGTGTCTTTAATCATGCTAATACATGCATTGAAACTCACTGCATAACTAATGCATATAAATTTATAGTATTAGTAATACGCTCTTCAATATACGTATTACTAATACAAGCATTAGTTATACATAAGTTGAAAATGTGTACCAAACAAAGTACTGTAATAAACAAAGTCAATGTATGCATTATTATCTCTAATACACTCTACTCTTTCCGTACAAAAACACTTTGATGTTTTAAAAAGTGTTTTAATACATCTAAACAATTACTTTATCTATTATCTTAATCTTTTTTGTAATAATTTTATCCAATATATTTTATAATATTATAAATTTACTCTTCAAATTACAGATATATGATCTCATGTAAAAGCGAAAACTGTGCAATTTATTCAAACACATTTATTTATCAAAATAATGCAATGCAATACAATAAAGTACTCCCTCCCTCTGTCCATTCTTTAAGAGAGGTGCGAAACTATCACCTATCAGACGAGCGGTTTGCAACACTGCATCCTTTCTTACATCATCTATGCGCGTTACTTTCTTCGAGAGGTTGACCGCATGTCCTAAATCAGATTGAACTTGAGGACTTCTTAGAAATGGGAAGATTTAGGGAGGTTAACCGTCCGTCCTAAATCTTCCCATTTCTAAGAAGTCCTCAAGTTCAATTTAATTTAGTTTAATTGTGTTTTAGTCAGAAATAACTTGTCTTTGTTTCGTTTTATGTATATTTGTTCTTCGTAAGTGTTGAAATTTAATTTTCAAAGAGGTTTAGCCTCGTACACAATTCACATAAAAAATATATCATCCTGCAAGGCAACAATTGAAATCGTGCCACCTTTTCTAGTCTGGATTGGGAATATCACTGAACAAACTTGATTGACCAACATAGTTTATGCATCATTAATGTAGCGGCTTGTCGAGCATTTGACAAACTCATCACACCACACCAACATAATTGAAATTAAGAAAAAAAATAACTAAGTTATACAAAATTAAGAAGAACGCATTGAGTGGAAGCTCGGGCATTGAGAAGAACACTTTCAGAGGGGAAAGTTCAGTGAGATCGACATGGTTTATGATCCATGAATCTCATATTACAAATCGTATTCAAGCTCTGTGGCTAGTCTATATTATTTGGACTTTTCAAACTTAGCGAACTAAAACGGAAAATTAACCGAGATCCGTTAATAACAGCAAACAAGAGGGGATTAGGGGTTTGAAGAAAACAAACACGTACGTCTTGCTTAATGTTGCTATATATTCAAACCTTCTTCCATTGGCAAATGATAATAATCTTAAATATAATAGTACTGCATTGGAAAGCTAATATGCATTGCTTAACCATGGTCTTAAACATAAATATCTTGCATTCATTAATTGGTTTGACGTAAACATAGAATACAAACAATTTTTCAAACAATCTTCCCGGCTTACTATGATTTTCGGGTGAAAAGAGAGTCATTGTCAATACTTTGAACGAGGAGGAAGAACATCTCTCTCTGTCTATTCAAATATCCGAGACTGCTAATCAATTTGGTGACACTGGTTCAGCAACATTTCAGTACATTTGATTATTTGAACCATCTAAATAACAGTTTGCTAAAGGTTACATTGCTACTCTAAGGGAAATGTTCATCAGATTTATTCAGATAATCAATAGTTTCCGAGTATTCATTCGGAGTTAATCACAGTTTAAATTAAGAAAAACGAGTTTTGTTCAGTTCACACCGTATAACCACTTCTCTGTGTTGCTTGTATACTTAACCAACTCTTCTGGTTTGAACCATAGTTTGATCTCGTCCTTGGCTGTCTCAGGTCCATCACTCCCATGGATAATGTTCCTGGAAAGCAACTCATCTCGTTCAGATTCAAACGTCTTAATCTTAATAAGAATAAACGGAGCCTAATTATGGAATTAACAGAAGAAGATTTGGTACCTTCCGACTACAACAGCTAAGTCACCTCTAATTGTTCCGGGTTCTGACTTCTGTGGATCTGTAGCTCCAATAAGCTTCCTTCCATATTTAATCACTCCTTCGCCTTCCCATACCTAGAATTCGATTATGAAGTATTTAAAGTGAAACTCTTTAGCAAACAAGTAAAGTTAGACTTAGCTAAATTCAATCTAGCTAACCATTGCTACGACAGGGCCAGAGCTAAGGAAACCACATAGACCATTAAAAAATGGTCTTTCTTTAAGGTCATGATAATGCTTTTGAGCAAAATCCTTAGACGGAACCACAATTTTGATCGCGACTAGCTTGAAACCCTTGCGCTCAAAGCGTGATAGGATTTCTGAAATCTGCAATGGAATGAAACTTTCTTAGCCAATTCGACAGAGAACTCTATATCTGCATATCATGGATGCAAGAGGGACAAAGATAGTTCATGGAATTCACATACCAAGCCTCTTTGCACTCCGTCTGGCTTGATGGCGATGAAGGTGCGCTCCATCTTGTAAGAAAATGTGCCGTGCCAGTTGTGACAAAGAATGCAAATACAGTCAGACCTCTTTATAACAATCATTTTCTATAATAACATTTCACTATAACAACCTAGTTTTCTTTGGAACCAACTATCATATTATGTTATATTATATATTTTCTATAATATCTCGTTATAGCAGCCAAAAAAAAAACACGACGTTGTTATAAAGAGGTTGGACTATAACGATAAATGCAAGATATAACACGTCGATTCATAAGAAGAGCAAGAATAAGATACCTCAGCAGCATGCGCTTCTTGCTCCTGGAGCATGTAAGCTAAATAATAAAGACGGAGAAATAAAACGAAATTAGACTAGAGGTTCCTATTTCTTTTGTTATTCATTGCATACAGAAAATTCAAATTTTCACCAAAGAGGCGCATTCGCAAAGGACAGAAAAAAGTTTAGCAGCAGCATAACAGAGGTAAGTTATAAGATACCAACCTGCTGCGGGAAGGGCAAGGATACCCGAGATCCAACACGAATTCTGGGACTTAGTCCTGCCATATGAAGCTAAAGAAGGCACAACTCCTCTCAAAGAAACTGTGGTTGCTGCAGCCGCTGCTCGTCCCCCTGCAAATAGGGCAAGACAGACATATTGTGTCTAATGAGCAAAGCCTGGTCAGTTGTACAAGCGAAAAACAGAAATAGAGGCTGATCGAGGATATACAGACATTGAATCGATTTGGTCTATGATATAGTGTAATTTTTTCAACGAATTACACTACCCTGGCTCCGCCCCTCGTGTAGTCATTCCCACTAGATCATCCCTATGTATAAATTTAACCTATCATAAAAAATGTGAAGGAACAAAGCTCAATGCTTCTCCACACTGATCAAACACATCAACAGTACTAAAGGCAGCCCACACACGCGCGTACACACACACATATATAGACCAAGCTCGAAGATGCACGAAAATTGAAATCAGTCTGTGAACACACATATATATAGGTTGATAATTTTTTTCTAGAAATATATATAATGATTGAAAAGGTCAAGTCTTCCCCCCAGGCAGATCAAACACACACACACCAAGTTCGAAGATGCATGAGCTCTGAAATCAGTCTGAGACCACACACACATAGATAGATCAAACACATCAATAATGCTAAAGGCATGCATAATAGAAACATCTAAGATTTCAAATCAAAGCACAATTGCACACACCGAGCTCGATACTGCACAAGAATTTTGAAATCAGTCTGCACACATACACATAAATAGACCAAGCTGGAAATGCACATAGATTGAAAATCAGTCTATGCACCACACACACACATATAAATTGATAAATTTTGTTATATATATATATGAACAATTAGGCGAGGAAGTGAAGAAGGAAGAAACATTCGAGATTTAAGGAGGAATGGAACGAAAATTTTACCGGAAAAAGCACGTGAACTTGAACTGAACAGAGACTTGGTAGCTCGTGAAGCAGATCTGCAAATCTGAGAATTCATCTTTCAAACAAACAAAAATTCCGATTCGATACGTAATCAGATGAAGAAGAAGAAGAAGAAAAAAAAACACAAATCTAATGCACTCTGTTTTTTGTTTTTTTTTGTGAAGAGTAAAAGAAGAAAGGAATGAAAATGTATATTGATCAGTTGAGTGAGCTTTTAAATTTAGTTAAATACTGTTATAAGTATTGAACACGTGAGTACACGCGCTGAGTGGGAGCGTGGTATAAGAGAGAGTTTGGGCTTTGGCTGGGTCAAAATCTGGGCTCGGAGTTGTTGGTCTGAATTAATGAATCTGATTCGTTGCTTGTGAAATTTGGAGAAATTTGTATTATGTTGCTATATACTTTTTATTTTTAATTAGTTTTAAAAAAATTATAATTCAATTTATTGATCTTTATAATGATGAAAAATTCAAATTTTAATATTT